GCGCGCGCGGCGGGCGCGGGGCGCCCGGGGCGTGGGGGCCACCTGTGCGCGCGCCACTCGCGCCGGTGCACTGAGGGGGGGCGCCGCATCATGCAGGGCCAAAGCTGTGTCCCTCCAGGACCCGCCCACCAAAACAAAAGACTTCACGCGACTCAAAGGGACCTCGTCTCTTGGAGACTTCCCATCCGAAGCACTGGACGTCGGCCTCAAGGGGCAGGTTTAAAAGCCACCGTGGTGCACTAAATGGGGCGCGAGGAGGCAGAATCCGAGGAAGAGATTAGTGCCTGCCCAGCGTTGCAGCACTCAATTCCCAGTCCAGTTCGCACGTCCACGCCCAGAAAACCAGGGTAGAACGTTCGCTATCTCAGGCAAACCACGATGTTTAAAGGGAATGACCTTAAATCTCCATAAGTAATGTAAACCCACCAGTTCTGGGAGAATCAGAGCTGCATGGCTGCAGTGGACACGGGAAGCCCAAGTGTCCCGTCCTCCCTAAGGCTGAGAGGATGTGAGGACAGGAAGGGGTAACCTGGGGAGAAAGCTCAGGGAGAGGGGAACGGAGCCCTTTCCCCCTCAGAGCTGACAAAGAGAGGAAAGTGAAGGGCAAGATCACAGAAAAGACCTCCCCCTCTCATTCAGGGGACAGTAGGGCTCAGTGTCGTGGTTGCGCTATGGTGCTGCAATACTGCGAGATGTTCCCACTGGGGGAAACTGGGTCAAGGATAGACAGGATCGCTCTGTATCATTTCTCATAACTTCTGTGAGTCCACAATGATCTCAAAATAAAGAGTTTACTTTTTAAAAAAATACAATAGGCCAAGTGCCACGAAAAAGGTGTAAGGTGCAGTGGGCGATAAAATGAGGGAGGTGAATATAAGAAAAGGAGGGAGAGGCCGGTCTATGTGTATTTAACAGTGCATGTGGCTTTTGAGGTGGGCTCTGAACACACCAGACTTTGAAGGGGCAGGAGGGCTTTCCAGGGGGAAGGACCAGAGTAAACAAAGATGCAGAAGCCTTCTCCTGCTTGAGGAATGGCTAATAACCCTCTTTTACTGAATGGTGTAGGGAAATTATGGTGGTCAAGAAAAATTGAAGCTCTATTGTGAAGGGACTTGAAAGTCAAAATAAGAATTTTGAACTCAATTGAGTGGGCACTGAGGAGCCATTGGCAAATTCTGAGCTGGGGAGTGGCCTACCCTGAGCCCCCATATAGTGTGTGACTTTGCCTGTCTCACTTCACCTCTACCGTTTCCCTTCTTTGTAAAAAATGGAGCTTCTATTCTCAGACTCTACCTACAGAGTATGTGGGAAGGTTTGGGAGTGGTAAGGGAGAGGACACGGGGAAGATGGGGTAATGGTTTTTACAGCAGCCTCAGGGGAAATAACGATGGAACTGTGGATAAGGGGACAGGAGCGGCAAGGAGAAACTGTCCAGAAGGACTCCTGGTAGCAATGCTTGCCTCCTGGCATGGTTTCCCCTCCAGAGATACAGTCTCACGGTTGGCAGCTTGATCCTTTAAGGGCTGCAGTGACTTTGAGCCATCTTTACGAGCCTGTGCCCTGCAATCTGAATAGGAGTGGTGCCTTGGTTTCAGGCTCACATGACCCACCCACAAGTTGCAGCAAATTGGGGTGGGAGTGAGGGGACAGAGGCTGGCAGGAGTTTCTGGGGACTCTGGCTCCTGCTGCAACTTCTTCTTGCCCTGGGAAAGTTAACGGTGGACAGGCTGCCTCTTCCAGGCTCTGGAGCAATTCAGTTCTCCGCTAGGGCGTTTATACCACACTCACTGCTCCTTCTATAAAATTGTAGCTGCTTTGGGATGATTTTTGAGTACTTACGGCATGTGTTTAAAAAACATGAGAAGATCTATGGCAACTCTCTGCACTATCATCACAATTTTTCTATAACTCTAACTGTTCTGAAAAACAGCAAGGGAAACAAAGTCCCTCCTGTGTGTAACCCCAGCACTTTGCCTTGCTTTCCCTCTCAGCAATGGAAGGAAATTTGACAACCTCCACTTCTTTTTCAAGGATATTGGTCAGACGCTAACATAGGCTACAAGCGAATGAGTTGTTTGATAAAGACCAATAAACCCAGGCAATTGCACATCCTCTCAGGCCTCACTGCCTGTCATAGCTTACTTATACTGAGGGAAGCAGCAGAAACTGGTGGCATGGGTATTCTACATCCATCCATACATCTGGGTTTTAGAGAGATGGGGTAGAGGGAGGTACAGAGTTGGCTAGTGTGCAGTGGGTGACTGGCAGATTCCAATACGGCATTGTCATGTTGCATCAAGGTTCCTCACTGCAGACAGAAACCTGCCTCCACACATGAGCGCAGCCCTCCTTAATCATCTGAGAACCCTGGTTCAGCAGTCAGCCTCACTCCTAATGACATTCTGTTAAATGGACAAATTCCTTTGAAGCCTTGTCCTTCTTTGAAATCCAATTTCGCAGGAAGCCAAATCTCATTGGGGGTAGTCATGGAAACCACACCAAGGAGTCGTAGAGGAGGTGGAGAGAGGCAAGGCAAAATGTGATAGTCAAGGGTCCCTTTACTGCTCTGTCGGAAATATCAAAGGGATCCAGAGAGGCTGGCAGCAGATGAGTTCCTGCCCAGGTCCTGTTCTGTGTGGCTGCGTACCATGTGGCTGTCATGGAAGTAAGCAGCCAGCTGTCTCTGCACACAGGCAGGGGGATGGAGCAGAATACACAAATCCCAGGTCTGTCTGCTTCCCTCTTCTTCCCCTCCCCCAGCCCCAATTCCAGCAAGATCTTAGCATCCTCTTCTTAGCTGCCTGCCTCGCAAAGACAAACAACAAAAGAATGACAAGGTTAAAATACAAGACCCTCACAGATAAGAGGTCCTTTGGAGCAGAGGCCATGAAATTAATCTGAAATTCCTTGTAATTAGATAAGATAAGGGTATCTAAAGAGATGCAGAGCAGCCAGGAATGGAGTCCTGCAGCACAACATGCAAGAAATATACCGCCTGGTCCACCAGGGCCCCTCACACACTGTCAGCAGACAGAAGACACAGAAAACAGGGCCCATGCCAGCCTCTTGGCTGCTTAGAGATGCCGTCTACATGTTCTCCTGCCAGGTGGGCACTCACTAAATATGCATCCATGGGGTGTCCAGAGAGCTCAATCAGGAAGAAACAAAAGCATCTGGCACCCAGAATGGCATGGGGTGGGAACAACTGCAGGCAAAGCAGGAGCTGGCTGGCACTGCTCCGCCCTGGGTGCGATGGGTCTAGAGAGGAGACTATGGAGGGCAGGCTGTGGGCCTTTATTCCAAGCTGGTTATTGATCTCTGGATGCTGGGTCATGACACGCGGCAGAGCTGACGTCTGCCCTGTGGATGTGCAGCCACTGCATCTCAGCCCCTTGGTCCCAACCCCATCAACCAGGTTTATTGACTCTTTTATTGACGATGCTGGGGCCTAATGAGGACAAGAGCTGCACACTTCATTAAGGGCTGTGGAAGGAGAGATGATGTGTCCTGCCGGTGCCAAGAACCAGGCTCACTGCACGCTTTGCAAGTCTCCGGAAACCAAGCCTCATGCCACCCCTGAGGCAGAGGAGACGGATACAAGATGCTCACTTGGGTGCATCACTTCAGTGGCCTTAAATGCAGGGTTTCCACAGCTTGCCAGAAGCCTTGCTCTTACTCATTAGCTAACCTTTCAACTTAGGAGGGTCATATTACACACTCTCACACAAATGCACTTCGATGGTCTCCCCTTTCAGCTCACACTCCTCGATTCTCTGCACTAATACATACAACAAAATAAGCGGTTTCTCATGTCATATCAGGGAACATTCCCAAAGCAGATTCTCAATGAGGCACAGGCTCAGATCAGAACGAGGGATTATTAAAACTCCACAGAATCTTCAGGGTGATCAAATTCAAGATGAGGGACAGACCCAGTGCTCTGCCCAGGGCTACCCAGATCACCAGGGGCTGCATGGCATCAGAATCCTGGTTCTGTAGCGCTGGTCCAAAGCTTTTGTAGAACTGAACACCTGAGATGGGTAACTATAGCCCAGGGATCACTGAGCAGCTCTGTGAAGCAGTCATTGCTTGTCCTCCTCCATCTTAAATGTAACATTTCTTTCTTTATTCTTTATCTTATCTTTCTATCACTCCCCTTATTATTTTTCCCTGTATTCCCTGATCACTTTTTTTGTGTTATCTTCTTTACCTATCCCTTAGACCACATTAGACATCCCCCATGGACACTGCTGAGCCCAGCAGAGGCCCTAAAGACCAAAGAGGTTGCTGACTCTGACATTCTCTGTCTTTGATTGGTTCTCTTGGGAATCGGAAGTGGAGGTGGGGGTGGGGGCACACACAGTGCGTCAGCTGCTGCCAGATGAGGCTGTGCGCTCTCGGTGAGATGTACAGGCAGTGTGCGGGGTCCGTCTGCATGGGAGGCAGGTGGGGCCAAGGCCAATTTTATAGGCTAGATATTTTCAGACATGATAACTTTGGACAACTATATAGAAGAAGTAACCATATCTTTTGGGGGTGATTAAAGAGATTAAAGGTAAACAATAGAGGGATAGCAATTTTCTAAGGTTGAACTGGCTTTCTTTGGTTTCCTTTCATCTGTTATTTCAAAAGGCAAAAGTTTAAGCACTCTAAGCCCCTTCCTTCCCTTCTGCCTTTTCTTCTCCCTCACTTTACTACACGTCTTAGAATTCAGGGTTGGGGCAGAGGGATTCAATGTAAGAGAAGGGGCAGTTATTTAGAATCTGATAGAAAGCTCTGGCCTGCATGGCACAAGTGCACACATGCTTGGGAGAATACTCACACTAAGAGGAACTGATGTAATCTGACCAGAATCACCAGTATTCACATATACGGACAGAAACACTACCTGGAG